TCCGCCGATCATCACTCTGACGAGCGTCGGCTTCGAGCTTTGGTAATTCGTCACGTGATTCAGTAGCTCACCGATGCCGGCAAACAAAAGTTTTCCAGTGTTAGCACAGTCCCGTTGCTTGCCAAAAACTTCTTCCAATCTATGCAAGTAACTAGGTACTTCAATTTGAAGGAGTTGCATTGTAGAAATATTTGGATTATAACTATTTTAAGGAGAAGGAACTTATAAAAGGCGGTGGAAATCTTAATTTATTCTTTATTTTCGATATAGTCGATATATTTTCCGTCAAGAACCAAATGGAGAACTCCTCTCGCCGACGCATGATACAGTACTTTTCGTAATTATAAATAATGCTACAGATACTAGAACTCGTTTCAAAGTTAACATCAGGAATGGCAAGTAATTGTAAAAAACTCAGCTATGAATTAATTTCATAAATTTCACCCATATCCTAATGGTTCTTGCTGACGTTGTCCATCGCATTTATTCAATTCGCGTTGCCTTCAGCTGCCGGTGAATACAAAGAGTAAAAGACTGCAAATAGACGTTGAATCTGACAGATTTACTGAAATGATATTCAGTTTGCAACTAAAGATGACTATCAGAACAGCAGGTACTTGTTAGATGTCAGTAAAACATTATCATCACGCAAAAATAAACTATTACCGCCGAACGTATCATTAATTAAAACGAGACAAGGGAATATTGTTCGGTCACCGCTTTTTTCACAAATTGAATTGATCCGTCCAGAATTGCCGATTAATACAAATTACCAATATCCCCAAGATTGAGCGGATTAAGAATTAATTGCGGTTATTTATTAGTGACACGTCTCATTATATTTTAAGGATAAGCTATAGACGTGCGCCTTCCAATCAAACTTAGTTCAGTTACTTTTAATAGTTCCTTTTTAGATGATCAACATGATAACATGATAAATCTGATCCGTGAGTTATAAATTAAGTCTGTTGCATAAGCGGTAACTTTCAAGGTGTGTGGTTGATCGAGACTTTGCAGGTGCAGAAAAAATTAGGGAATGGAATATTAATCAATCCCTATAAATTAAGTAAAACTTAAAAAAAAGTACCTGTCGAATTTTAGTTCGGTCATTTCAGTTGAACACTACGAACGTAAGGAAACCAATTGGATGTTAATGAGGTTAATAACTTCATTAAACTGCAACTGTCAAACATATTCTACCTACAATTCAGCCCCCTCTTCTCCTGGTGTGGTACCGCAAATTACTCGTATTTTATAATCAGCCGTGCATTTTCTGCAGGAATTATATAATTATTAGAAAGTGATTCACAAATCTATATGCAACGAATTAAGCTATACATTTTAATTAGATAGCGAACAAAAACCCCACGTTTGGTTCAATTGTAGCAGCAACTTTGAGCTGACGAACGAACAGCGACCCTACAATCTTCTCACAATATGGACTATTTAAATTAACCACATCGTTAAAATGGGGTTTTCAACTACTGTTTAGCCCTCGGTTTAGCCAATCCTGAATTTCTTTTATACTTAGTAGTAGTAGATAGCATAAGGGTTATTCAATAAGGTGGTACGTATGCCTAAACGGAACGGCATGTGAATTATTTCGAAAATTTCATCGAATGTACCTCTTCTCCTTCTCTTCTTCTTTCTTGGTTTGCAGAAAACAGATTGGGGATTGTCTGGATGCCGTTTGACAGGAAATTTTTCAACATCATAATAACTTTTTGATGGGTCGTTTCTTTGTATATACGAAACAAACCCGATATTGTTCCCCTTGAAAACGTAGAAGATGGTATCAGTATTGTGTACAACATTTACATCAGCAACCTGATTATTTTCTATAATTTCCCACTTATGAGTGCGATCTCGTTTTCCATGTATTGTGTATAGGTAGTTTATATATACGATATCAATTTTATTTTAGAACTTATCTATTTTGTGTTCTGTTTTGTTGAAGACATAAAATCTTCTCTGATAATAATGCCTTGGTACGTATCCAGTACTTCCACGTGTGTAGTATTTGAGTAGCATATCGTACCGTTGAAGGGCTTTTGTGATAATATGATTAAATAATCAGCTATACCCATAAACATTATGGCGCAGTTCTGATTCGTGACAGTGATCAGATAATTTTGTTTGTTAAATAATTTTACGTTCCTATGATAATAGTATATTGAAAGACAAGTGTTACAATGCGACCTATTGTAATACGACTATCTTGTGGCACGAGTGGCGACGCGAAGCGTAGCCACGAGTGTCCGCAAGATAGGAGTATTACAATAAAGCATTGTAACACGCGTTTTTCATACTATTTTTTCTATTTCGGTGCTTTAATTTAATTTAAAAAAATCATTATCAGAAATTATAGGGAACATTAGAACTAACATGTTTTATGTTGGGAACACTTTTTATGCCGTTAAGTTTTAGGTTGGCAGCGTAGTAAGACTAAGACTGATTTTGAAGTTCAAACATGGAAGTACCCAACGAAGTACCTACTTGTACTAACTAGTAACTGCCAACTTAAGAGATGAGTTACCAAAAAAAACGACTATAATCACTGTCTTTGTACAACTGTTTTCGGCCGAAAACAGTTGTACAAAATCATCATTGTGACACCGAAATAGAAAAAAATATTTTCATCCAAACAAGTCACGAAAATAGCCATTTTCAAACTTATATCTGCTAAGAAAATAAGTTCAAGAATAATAAAATACGGCACTCCTCCACTCTCACTAATTCCCACCCTCTCAAAAATTGAATAAATATTTAGCTTAAATACCACGTGTAAATTTTTTTGGGGATTTTAAGGATTTATCGTAGTTCCTAAAATTGAGAATCGTGGAAATGAAAGAATTTCAAGAAAAAAAATCGAGGGAAGTGGAACAAATTCTATTTTTCCACCTGATTTATTTATAATTATTCCCATTACCCTATTATCCAAATTCTCGATTCCCCCTCGTAATTATTTTCCCTTTCCTCATCTTTTAGATTCTACATTTTTAACATTCTCAGTAACATTCGTATGTTGCTTAATGACTTTCAACTTTGGTGTGGTAATTTACTAACTAAGACCTATGCAAATCTTTAAATATTGCGTACCTACTACTCAATCAAGTGTTTTTCCCTACTACCGATATTCCTATTGTTTATACAGCGTGTAACATATAAGTATGTAAAAAACTGGGTGATAGAGGTGGTCAAAACAAGCACCATTTTCAATTATAAGTAAAAAAGTTTAGGTCGTATAGGACATGGCACATAAAAAGTAATAATACATATGGGTTTATCATCAAGGATTGTCATGCTTAATAAATTACGTAATTCTGATCGTTTCTTGGTGCATTTTTAATTCTCAAAAAGGAGCTTATTGTTTCACTAACTGTCGGATGTTCGAGATCTCGGCAATGGAATATCGTAGAACTAGTTACAATACACGTTTAAGCTACAACGTCGAGCTGTTAGAATTTTAGCCAAAAATTGGATATCGTGATGATTGTCGTACAAGTTTTATAAAATTAAAGATATTCACGTTGTCTATTTGTGTTTGCATGTGTTTGTCATGTTAAACCTACACCGAATACATAATCTCTTCACTCTGATATACATAAATGAATGAATGAATGAGGAAATATGATCATGTAAGTCACAAGTTGATCGATCTAAAATGGTTAAATATGCATAATAGGAGAGCTGGACATGCTGCTAGCACGTATTATAAAATTTTAGTTAATAATCAACCCACCTATTTATACCGCAAATTAAAATACAGAACTGATGTACATACGCTAAATTTGAGAAACAAAGGTTTGCTTACACCTCCCTCGCACGCCACAGCTATGTATGAAAGATCTTTTACCTACAACATCAGCAAATGGTATAATTCCCTAGCTATGGACATCAAAAGCATGCCTTACAAAACATTTAGATTAGCTACCATGTCGAGGTTATTGCACGAACAATCTTCTTCTCAATGATATTTGACAATTTAATTTGAGGTTTTTTTTTTGCTAGATATATTATTTTTATTTTTATTTTTTCTTCTTTGTATTTTCTGTTAATGAACGGAATCACATGGGTTAGATGGAAGAGCAGAAATGGTATGTACATATGTTTCATTCCATTACTGAATCTCGCCCTTTGTACACACTTCTATGTAATGTAACCTATAGGTACTATTAAAGACATTTATTATTATTATTATTATTATAAATACAATACAAGAAACAAGGATTTAGTACGGATACCTTATTGTAGATTAAGCAAAACTCAGAATGGAACCACCAACTTGGCACTTATAGAGTTAAAGCTGTTTAAGTTAAAGGTTTTTTTATTCTGTTGAAGAGTTTTTGCTTTACGATATGAAAACTTTTTTATTTAATTATTAAACTTATTAGCATGTATATTATTATAGATTTTTCCAATGTTTTGACGAATGTAAGTTTTTTTTGTTAACTATGCATGAAATATGATTATTACCTTTCAAATACCAGAGCTGCGTACTACTCGAGAGCGTTTCGCTCAAAAAAGCGCCCCAAGCGGAAAAAGCGCTTGGTGCTCGATACTCGAGCGTTTACTTAAAGTGCTTGGTGCTCGAACGCTTTTAACCGCCCTCAAGCGCTGCAGGGTTAAGCGCCACTCGTGAGCGTTTTTTCCGTTCCCGAACGGTTTTTTCCACTCCCGAGTGCTTTTTCCGCTCTTGAGGGTGTTTTCCGCTCACGAGCACTTTTCCCGAGCGCTCGCGATAAACCGCTCGAGCACTTTTAGGACCCAGCTCTGCCAAATACACAGTAAGGGTGGATGGAATACCTCCAAAGTTATCAAAAACGTGGCAATTCAGAATATCTATAAACAGTAATATTGCTTCACAAACTTAAAAAACATACGTTTATTCAAGTGCTATGTAGGTATTAGTTATCTGTTGTTTTCAAAGTCTAAATAAGAATCTTAAACCACGTATCCAAAGTCTTATACGATAAACTATCGCTATGTTATCATTCGATACAATATATATACAGGTGTCGACTACTCTCATGTTAGTCAACTTAACTCTCTACGAAAAGCAAAAGCTACAACATGTTATTAACAGTCCTGTGTTTGACGCTACTGGCTGCTACTGCAACTTCGGCTGAGGTAAGGTTTCACTTTTACACCCTAACATCAATTACAGTTTCATATTTTATTTCAGATCTCCCAAGATATCATTACAAATATCAGAAACACGATTAAAGATATTAAAGGCCCCTGCTTACAAAGTGAAGGTGCGAGTGAAACCGACCTAGAAGATATATTATCGAAAGGAATATACAGTACTAGTCGTAACTTAAAATGTGCTTTGAAGTGCCTTTATATAGGTACCAATATTATAAGCTCAACCGGAGTAATTAACGAAGCAAATATGAAGTTAAAAACTGGAACTATAAATGTGAATACTCAAAATGCAGTATTCGCGAACTGCGCAGGATTTACGAATGCAGATCTCTGTGAGAGGGTATATGAAATTAGTAAATGCACCTACCGTACCTTAAAGGGATCGTTCGGTGCTACTTGGTTGGACACATAATTTCTTTAAGTGAATCGTACTTAAAAGTGCACTATATTGATTACGTTAATCCTTATTACATTTTGGCTACGGTACTTTTATTATACTTACTTAATTCTATTTCTGTTAGTATGCTAATTTCTTTTTATGTTGCACATATATTTTAATAGAACCTAGAGGGATTTCCCGTTAAATAAATAAATAAATAAAATGAAAATAACGATTACTACCTACAAACTAACTATGGTTTCACTTCTTTTTATTAAGTATACGTGGACGATATGTTACGATGAAAGATAAGCTAATAAACCGATACAACGAAATATCGAAGGATCTTAAGTAATCTTTTTCCCAACGCTCTCAGTGCAAGAATAACGATTTTGACAAGTTAGCGGTAGTACATGAGTCATGACACTAATACGTCCCCCAGGTACGATCATTAAATTATTATTTATTAAATGCCCAGAGGGCGCCTTAACTAAGCGTTTTCAACAAAAAAATTTGCGGAAGAAGCCCTAAATTTTCCACAATCTAAAACTTTACTTCATTTTGTCGAAATCTGGTGTTATGTTACTTATATTTCGTCATTCTTGACAGTGACAGCTTTCTTTATTCATTTAATACAGAAGGTGAGAGCTAATTTTTGTAAGAGGTTCTATTAACTACTTCGTCTAATAAATAGAAATATGCTGGGTTTGACGTGTATATTAACAGTTAACGTAATACAAGTAGTGTAATAGGTATAAAACACAATAAAATTTTAGGATTACTAATTCATTCAAACACCAAATGGAAAAATAAAAATTATCTCCACAACTGGATACAGTGCCGTTTTTATGTTTTTCGGGGCCCTGGGCCATTCGTTCGTGGAGGCCCTCCTTACCCTCAATAAAAACGGCACAATGTTTGCATTTTGTAACGAAAATGACCGGACTTTTATTTTATTGCACTGTAAAGTCAATGTCTTACCCATGGGCAAAACCTCAGTGTAATACCCACTTTAGGCTTTTTATCACTTATTAGGACTTTTTAACTTTCTAAATGGTAACCTTATATACACGATCTGCAGGATTTTAGAATTTCCGGTATCCCTTACTCTATGCATTAATTTTGTTTAAATCTGCATTTACTTTAAGGCGGCAGATTTTGCCCAAAAATTTTGTCATTCACACAAACTTTTGGGGGCCCCTCAGGACTTCATGGCCCTGGGCCCGGGCCCAGGTGGCCCATGCCTAAAAACGGCACTGACTGGATAGCTTATCACACAAATACAAAATACTTCCCCAAATGTTCAAAATTATGAATTACGTTACTCACAAGTCTTAGTAAATTCACTATACAACTGAAATTCCCCCAATCAAAACTAATTACTGAGTCATAAAACAACTTGCCACAAGTTAATAAATTGATATTTCGGGCAAAAATTCGCACGTATATGGTACAAGTAAAACATATAAGGCGACGCTTACCTTAATTTAAGTTAGATGTTGACTCCAAGAAGAGCAGTTTCCGCATCCAAAACCTACAATCAATAAAAGAAACCCTCCCAAGCCGCAGGGATCGGTATACAGGGTGGTGACTTGCGTAACGCATCATAGAGATTTCAATGTAAAATTCATAACATTCGATTATTGGCTCCCAAATTATTTTAGAGCAAAAATGTATTAAGGTTTTTTGTAGAAAAAAAAAATTTTTACGTCAATCAACCGTATTAGTTTTCAATGTTTTGCATAATAAAGGCGGAAAATTGGAAAAATAAAACCACCATCTTTTTCAATAATCTGTGATGCCATGGAATTTTATAATACAAAAACTACGCCAATATCCGTCATGCCATGGAATGTCTGCTATAAAACAAATCAAATTCTATCAAAAAGTATTATATGTAGAACAGCGAATTCAACATAAAGAAATACTAGATTAGATTACTAAAAATGGTTTCCTAATATAACAATTTACCAATAAATGTTCGAATAAGTCACCATTAACTGCAAGACAGTAACCAAGGCGATAATAAAATCCATTTCGGACTACTGCCAATTGATAACTGGATATTTTTTGTTTTAGAAAATTCCATGGCATCGCAGATTATTGAAAAAAATGGGGGTTTTATTTTTCCAATTTTCCGTCTTTAGTATGCAAAAAATTGAAAACTAATACGGTTCATTGACGTAAAAATTTTTTTTTCTACAAAAAACCTTCATACATTTTTTCTCTAAAATAATTTGGGGAGCCAATAATCGCATGTTTTGAATTTTACATTGAAATCCCTATGATGCGTTACGCAAGTCACCACCCTGTATATACGTTGTACATGTTTAAAATTCGGTGCTACCTCCGTATATCTACGTGCTGCAATCATCGGAAAGCCCATTTCGTGAGCTTTCCAACGAGTACCAACACGACTCAATTTAGTTTTGTCCAGTAGGTACGCTAAAAACGGTTTCAGGTAACACGTGTGCGCATTCATTTTGTTGTCGTAGTAGTTATTTATTCAGACGTTTGATAAATTGTTTTATCCATAAGTCAATCGGTAGATGGCGGATGAATACGTTGGATTGACGAAGCAGGAGGCTGCGGTCCTAAAAGAACTTATTACAACGCTTGAATCGGATGATTCCGAAACTGAAAATGAGACAATGAGCTTAGACGCCACCGATGTTTCCGGGGACAATGAATCTGAGAAAGAACAAGTATTGCCCGGGACCAGTGCCGTTTTTAGGCATGGGCCACCTGGGCCCGGGCCCAGGGCCATGAAGTCCTGAGGGGCCCCCAAAAGTTTGTGTGAATGAAAAAATTTTTGGGCAAAATCTGCCGCCTTAAAGTAAATGCAGATTTAAACAAAATTAATGCATAGAGTAAGGGATACCGGAAATTCTAAAATCCTGCAGATCGTGTATATAAGGTTACCATTTAGAAAGTTAAAAAGTCCTAATAAGTGATAAAAAGCCTAAAGTGGGTATTACACTGAGGTTTTGCCCATGGGTAAGACATTGACTTTACAGTGCAATAAAATAAAAGTCCGGTCATTTTCGTTACAAAATGCAAACATTGTGCCGTTTTTATTGAGGGTAAGGAGGGCCTCCACGAACGAATGGCCCAGGGCCCCGAAAAACGTAAAAACGGCACTGCCCGGGACGAGGGAGATTCCCCAAAATGAAGACGAAGACGATACTTCCGATGAAGAGGAACCGCCGCCTAGACGCAGGCGAATCGACTCGAACACATTTCGTTGGTCATCAGGTGAGTTTGTACCGAAGATCCATTTGTTTGATAATGCAAACTCGGGATTCAATCTTCCGCAAAACTTTCCTGAAAGCCCAAATGAGGTCGATTTTTTTTCCCCGAACAGATTGCTACAGAGACTAACAGATATTTTGATTTTGCAAGGAACAAAACACCTAATCAGCAATTCCCTTTGAACTCACGACTAAATAAATGGGTAGAAACAAATGGTGAAGGAATATCACTATTCATTGCTGTTATACGATGCTTATTTCACGTAACAAGAAACTGAAACTAAATGATTGCTGGTCAACAGATCCTCTAATATTCACACCGATATTTTCGAAAGTAATGCCTCGTGATCGCTACTTGCTGATTTTGAGACTACTGCATTTCTGTGACAACACTCAGCAACAAAAAGGTGAGCGCCTTTTCTTTTCAAAACAGATTTGGTTCTGAACAGTCTGAAGGAATGTTTTTCAAAAACCTTCTCGCCATTTAAAAACCTATGCATTGACGAATCCCTTGTTCTGTGGAAAGGCAGATTCCGGCAATACATAAAGTCAAAACGCCATCGCTTTGGTATCAAGATATTTGTTCTGTGTGACGTAGAGACTGATTATGTGATGGGATTCATTATTTACACTGGAGCCGCTACTAGAATCGCCCCTTCGGATTTTGGAATATCAGGATCTGTTGTTTTGACACTTGTAGAAGACCATTTACAAAAGAGACACAATCTCTTCATCGATAACTGGTACACAAGTCCCGACTTAGCAAAGCACTTACACGAGAATAGGACAAATGTATGCGGAACTGTACGTTCCAACCGAAAACAAATGCCCAGCATGGCAGATCCTAAACATAGAGGTGATGTAGTTAGTAAACATACAGACATTATGATGTCATTGAAGTGGAAAGACAGACGTGTTGTGACGATGTTGAGTACATTACATAACGATGAGTTTCAAGAGACGGGAAAGAAGAACAGAGAAACAAACGAAAACATTATGAAACCCAGATGTATAATTGACTACAATGCTAATATGGGATCAGTGGACAAAGTAGATATGCTGCTAAGTTCAGTAGAGTGTTTGAGAAAATCCGTAAAATGGTATAAAAATATTTTCTTTCATTTGGTAGACTTGTGCATGATAAATTCTCATGCTGCTATGTACAAAGCTGTAACTGGAAAACACACATCCTTAGCAGATTTCCAATTAGAAGTAACCAGACAGCTTATTGAAAAATATAAAAAATCTGACAGAATGGGAAGAAGGGGGCGACCGTCCACAGGAGAGGATCCAGTTCGCTTGGTAGCTCGCCATTTTCCTAAGAAAATTCCACCGGTTCCAGGAGGTAAGACAACCTGTCAGCGATTGTGCTACGTGTGTACGCATACACAAGTTGGTGACAAAAGGAAACACGATACTGTATATGAATGTTCAGAATGTGACAAAGCACTGTCTCGAATTCCTTGCTTCGAAATTTACCACACCAAGAAGCTTTTTTAGTTATATTGCTGATATATAACCATTATAATAGATCATGGATTGAGCTTAGTTACCATTTATAAATGAATTTTATTTATGTATCTAGAATAAGACTTTATTTTGTGATATGTTTATTTTTTGTTTTTATATAAAAAAAATTTAAAAAATCAAATCAAAAATAAATAAAAAAAAATGTTGATGCCCCTCCCATAAAATACATTGAGCTTTACTTCCCAACCTTGTTGTGCACGTATATGCACGTGCTGGGTGCTGCAAATCAATCTGCTGATGATGTATATCGCGCGACGATTTCTCTCAGTGCGACGTACGTAAATATACGTTTTGTACAATTTAAATTTAGCACAGGCTGTTGACACTCGAATTTTTAATTTAGCAGCGAAAAGGTTAAAATATATTATTAATTTTATATTTGTAGTGTTTATTGAAATCTGAGCAACATAATATATGAAAATTGGTAAGAAATAATTTCCTTTGCACA